GGAGTGGGCATTTTCGTAGCCTGTTAGCAGGAATCATCACAGTGGCTGGGGGGCGCAGGGAATAGAGCGGAGGGGGGGTTCCGGGAGGGAGGGGAGGCGGGTCCGGAGAGGTGGAGGGAGGGCGGGGGGACCAGTCGGAGTGAAGGGGGGGCCGGAGCTTTGGAACGGGTCCAGCAACCACGCTGGGGGGGGCCCTGGAGGCCGGTAGCCACTCCTGGATGTTGCAGGAGGGAGACGAGAGGGGATTTCGGAAAGGCTACCGGCACCCTATGGCTGTGGGCTTACACATAGAGGAGGGATGGGCTGAGGCTTGGGGGGGGGGGTGGTCTCATTTGGTTTTCCTCTTGACACCTTTACACTAGTCGCTGGACACACGCATACCTGACACACAGGGTGGGAGCTGATGGAAGCAGGGGCGGTTCTGACTACTACACCTAGTGGGAACGCCAATACAGTCAGGGGCCCTTTTGATCCCCGCTGAGACAGACCCTTTTTTGTAAATAGAGCCGTGGGTCCCGCGAACGGGTAACTTATCCCCGGCTAAGGGTCGACGTTGCTCCCAGAGGGGGAGGGGGAGCCTTTCCCACGACCTCGTGTACTTGACTTGACTTTCCTACTGCCCCCAACGCCCCACAGTCCCACTCGTGCCGCTGCGGGGGTGCCCTTCCGCCGCGGCGATGGCCCCCGGCCGGGGCTTTGTCCCTGCTCAGATGACCTATTGGTCCAATAATATACAGGGGCTCAATACGCCCGAAAAACGATCGCATCTATTGAGGCAGCTGTGGGCGGCTAAGGCATCCGTAGCGTTCCTGCAAGAGACGCACTTCAAGGGGGGAGATGCCCCCAAACTGGAGACTCGACGGTTCCCGCAGGGATTTTACGCTAATCACCCCACTGCCAAAAGAGCGGGTGTAGCTATTCTATTCGCCCAGACGACGCCTTTCCAACACATAGCGTCCCAGGCGGATCCGGGGGGGAGGTACCTATTTATAAAGGGTACCATAGCGGATCATGCCTATACGTTCGCAAGTGTATACTGCCCAAATAAGGGGCAGCACACCTTCCTCTCCCAGACGTTAGCCAAACTGGAAAAATTTAGGGAGGGCCTATTGGTCTTGGCGGGGGATCTCAATATACCGCTGGACCCATTGCTTGATACCTCCAGGGGTGCAACCGCGCTCCCGGCACCATGCATCAGGCAGGTCCAACGTTCTCTGCACAAGATAGGGCTGGTGGATTGCTGGAGGGCTTGCAACCCAGACGAGCGGGACTACACCCATTACTCCGCAGCGCACGCACGGTACAGCCGCATCGACTATATCTTCCTGGCTCAAGAATTTTTAAACCTCCTACAGGGTTCACGCATAGGCATCCAGGACCACTCAGATCATGCACCAGTCCTGGTTCATACCAGCTCTCCGCTATTCAAACCCAGTGAGCGTCAGTGGAAGCTTAACGAAACCAAGTTGGATGATCAGGCACTTAAGCAGGCGGCGGCCCGCGCTCTGGTAGACTACTTTACCACCAATGAGGACCCGGATTTGTCTCCCCTAAGGCTCTGGGAGGCGCATAAATGCGTCATTCGGGGTTTCTTCATCGCAGAGAGTACCAGGCGCAAAAAGGATAGACAGGCCCGCATTACGAGCCTGACAGCACGTATTGCAGAGCTGGAGGGGAACCACAAACAGTCTTTGGACGAGGGCACATATCTTAAGCTTGTGGAGGTACGTAGAGAATTGAAAACTATCCTGTCGCAGGGGGTGCTGTATACCGCAAGGAGGGCCGCTAGATACTACTACGAACATTCTAATAAGTGTGGGAAGCTCCTGGCGAGGATGCTTCGGGAGAAGCGCAGGTTGCAACATGTCCATAAAATACGCACGGGCGGGAAGGACATTACGCGCCTCCCAAATGGTATCCTGGGTGCGTTCCAGGAGTACTATGCGGCGTTGTATGATCAGACACGGGGACGCTCGGCATCGGAGGACAGCCGGCACAAGGTCAGGATAGCGGAATACCTACAGAACCACGTCGCACGTAGACTCTCCCAGGAGCAGATGACAGATCTGGAGGCTCCGTTGACGTTAGAGGAACTCTCGGGAGCTCTGAAGGCGACCAAGGCTCATCGGGCTCCAGGCCCGGATGGCTTACCAGCTTCCTACCTACGTGCGTTCCGGGACATCCTCCTGCCCCGCCTGGTGTCGGGGCTAAACTCTTTGCGGGACGAGGGTCGATTCCATGAGGACTCACTGAGGGCAACAGTCACGATCCTCCTTAAGGAGGGCAAGAACCCCATGGAGTGTGCTAGTTATAGGCCGATATCCTTGCTCAACGCGGACATTAAGTTGTTTGCTAAAGCCCTGGCGCTCCGGATGGCTAGGTCCCTGCCGGATCTCGTCCACTCAGATCAGGTAGGGTTTATTCCGGGTCGGGAGGCCCGGGATAATACCATTCGGGCCCTCAACTCTATCCACCTAGCTCGCACCTCTGGGAGGGAGATGGTGCTGCTTTCCACCGATGCCGAGAAGGCATTCGATAGAGTTGATTGGACATATATGCTGGAGACTCTGGAGCACATGGGCTTTGGACCTGGGTTGCGGACGTGGGTGGCGGCTCTGTACTCCAAGCCGACTGCACGAATCAGAGTTAATGGTGCACTCACGGGCTCGTTCAACATTAGTAACGGCACGCGACAGGGATGCCCCCTGTCCCCCCTCCTGTTTGCCCTCACCTTGGAACCTTTCCTGGAGGCGGTCAGACGGGATGGGGGTATAACGGGGTGCCGGTTGGGGGGGGGAGAGCATCGGGTGGCCGCTTATGCGGATGACATGCTCTTCCTCCTGGAGCAGCCGAGGATTTCACTGCCGAACCTACTGGAGGCCTTTCGCGCCTATAGCTCAGTCTCCAATCTGAAACTTAACCTAGAAAAATCGGAATTGATGCCTCTTTCTCGGAGCCATACCCTCCGGAGACATGTTCAGGCGCACTTCCCCTTCAAGATCTGCCCGACCAAATTGCGGTACTTAGGTGTTTGGTTACCATATGACCTAACTCAAATCTACTCTATGAATTTTGCCCCCCTACTGTCAACTCTGCAACAGGACATGAGGCGCTGGGCCCCGCAATACATATCTTGGTTTGGCCGTATCAGCGCCATCAAAATGAACGTCATGCCCCACATACTGTACCTGTTTCAGACGCTCCCGATCTCGGTCCCGCGGAGCTTCTTCCAGACATTATCTTCCTCCTTTCGACAGTTTGTGTGGAACCAGAAACCTGTTCGGGTACGGCAGGAGATTCTGGAACGCCCCCGCAGTGAGGGCGGTATGGGCTTACCCTCAGCCCTAACGTACTACCGGGCATTGCATCTTTATCGTATAGTGGACTGGCATGCAGCCCCAAGTGGTAAACCATGGGTAGATATGGAGAAGTTACAGGCTAGAGGAGGCAAAATCCCGGCCCAACTGTGGCTGGGAGGGGCCACGTTCCAGGATCTGCAAACAGGTAACCCGTTGATAGATGCTACACTGAAAGTGTGGTGTAGCATTCGCTACTCTAAAAAACTTACGTCATCTCCAAACCCGCTTACACCCATGACACATAATCCAAGACTGGCGGGGGGACTTTCCCCGGGAGATCTGCAGTCCTTTGGAGCAGCAGACTGGACTTACCTACACCAGTGGTGTAACGGACCGGTTCTTAAACCGCTTGCGGAGCTTCTCCAGGATCGAGAACCGAGCACCTTAGACAGATATCGCTACTACCAGCTCAAGACATATGTAGCCTCCCTCGCTGGGACGGCTCACCTTCACCGCGCACTGTCTTACTTCGAGCAACTCTGTGTATCCAGACAACATATCCCCCACGGCATCTCACACCTATATTCTATGCTGCAGAACTGCGGGGACCACAGCACCTTAGGCTTCAAGTTACGCTGGGAGCGGGAAACAGGGATCGAGCTGACGGATACGGAGTGGCAAAAAATTTTCCTACTGACGCACAAGGGGACCATTAGCTCAAAATTCCAGGAATGCAATTATAAGATATTGACGCGATGGCACAGAACCCCGGATATTCTCCGTCATGTTCACGAGACTCTCTCGGGTGAGTGCTGGAGGTGCGGCGCTGCGGAGGGCAATGGGATTCATATATGGTGGGCATGTCCAGGCATAGAGCCTTTCTGGCGAGAGGTACACCAAGCAATTAAGGACATAACGGGGGTAGACATACCTTTCCAGCCACTGCCGATGCTGCTGAACCACACGAACACGCCAGTGACTATCTACAAGAAGGGCCTCGTTATCCATCTACTCACGGCGGCAAAATCGCTTATCCCCACGCTATGGAGAAAACCGATTGCCCCGTCCCTTCGCCAGTGGGTGGACCGAGTTGAAGCGATTTACAACATGGAACTGTTGACGGCGTCTCTGCAGGGACGTTCGGATAAATGTGCCCTTACATGGTTTCCTTGGATGGAGTACACTGCGGGGGGGGCCGCGGTTGGGGGGCCGGACCGGGGGGGGGGCGCCCCTGCGCCGGCGCAACTTCTTTCTCCCTTGACAGACTGACAACTACACAGAATCCGTGCTACCTTGGGGACGGCACTTACCTGACAGTATAGCTATGACTATTCTCCTCACTTTCCCGTCCTGACGTCCCGACGGTTGACAAACGGGGGGGATCGCTCGGATATAGGTTCATACACTCTCCGACTCCCTATACCAAGCGCACAGAATAACTTGAAGCGCAGGGAGGGAGATATAAGACTAGGGCAGACATTAAGACGGACGTACACTTGGAGGGGGACGAGGCTATGGGGCTATAGATCTTGGTAGGGTAGGGTGGGAGGCCCACACCGGGAAAGGTATTGGGCACGTGGGCAGGAGGTCGATGGTGCCATTATGGGGTCAGGGCTCTGTAGGGGGGTACGCAGCTAAATCAAATACCCAGGCATTAGATGCCCGAATTGCTCTATAGGGGCATCCAGCAATACGGGGGTGGGGGGAAGTTGTTGGGACGTAGGCCATTCTGATGTTCAAATATATATTCTGCACACTGGAACACCGGGTGGGCAGTAGAGGGGGGCTAACGGGGTTAGGGAGCAGGAGCAGGTGCAACAATTAGCCCATGGCAATGTAGCAGTAGGCACATGAGGTGGATAGGGATCACAGCTTCACGACGCCAAAGGGATAGCTACGATCACCATGTCCTACTCTCTACTCGCCTCACGTGACCCCGATGGGATACTGAGAGGCTGGTCATCCTTGGGGCTTGGGGGGTTGTTTACGGTTCTGGTTTTCAATGTGTTTTTTGCTTAGATGCTACCATTTCGCTGTATTGTCTCGATAACAATGACTTGATAGACCCGATGTTATAGGCCTTTATCTAAGTCGGTAAATGTATGGTATACGTGGAAAAAACAATACGATAAAATAATAAATAAAGATTGTCAAAAAAAAAAAAACCCGCATTGAGTAATTCTGATAATCAACACACCAAAAGGTCCTGCCTGGAACGAGGAAAATCAAAAGTGCCTTACTATGTATATATCTTTGTTGAAGAAGGAAAAAAAAGAAAAGATTACTTTTTACTATCTCCTCCTGGTTTTAATTATGACCTCATACATGGTCTAGCAAACCATCTAGGCGCTGACTTCTAATTATACCCATATTGCTCCAGCGCCATTAGCTATTAAGGTCTACAAATTTGACCAGCTGTGATCTTCACAGTCAGCAAATCTTTACACTTAATTTTTCTAATGGACTTTTATTACAACAAAGTAGGGATAAAGTCCTTTGGCCCAACTAGGACCAAGAACGGTACATACTTTATTTCTATTTTTATTATTTTCATTTAACAACCTACCGCATTTATTACCTATATTTGGTCCTGCTGAGGGTAGGAATGAATCAATAAGTGCATATTCACCTTCAAGTGACGCCTAGAGCCCAGGGGATAGCTGATTGTGCTCAATAACCAACATATGTCTTTCATTTTTAATACTAACAGTCTACACCTACGAGTCTACATCGGATCATCAAGTCTCTTAAGGAATTGTCAATCTAAAACTCCCACTTCTCTTTCCACAATGGAGAAATGTCTTCAATCTGGAAAAGCTAAAGCATACAAAACACTCAAAGTCTCGCTCAAAAAACCCAGAGGCCCAACTAGAAAAGCTTCCACAGCACCACCCAGTCCAGCTATGTCAGAAACTCTTTTTACACCAGATCCATCCAATCACAATACATCCTCACTGGCAGACAATATCACTTATTACTTATCCTTATGGCCGAAACTGGAAGTGAAATTTGACATCATCCAACACACTATTGAGGACATGGTAAGCAAAGTAGCAGCCAACACCTCCAGGCTTGATAGCCTTTAAAATAGGCAGTGTGGCTTGGATGATTCGTCCACTTAAATACAGACTCAAATCCAACAACAATTCAACCTAATATCACAACTCCAATCAAAGGTAGAGGATATCAAAAATAGGAGCAGACGGTAAATCTATCAATAAAGTCCATAAAGTCCCAAACTTTCTTAATTGAAGTCATGGATACCAGAGGCATTACATCTCCCCTATGACTCAGACAAACCACTAATGATTGAAATAGTACGCAGCCTGGGTCCTGAGAGAACCTCAGACTAGACTTCCGAATGTCCGAATTGCCGAGGGGCCAGGGGGGAGGACCTTAGGCCCCCCCCCTATTAGTATTCAGGGCCCCCACCCGCCGCTCAGGGGTGGGGGCCAGGGAGGAGGACAATAGGTCCCCCCCATCATTTTACTTTAGGGCCCCCACCCGCCGCTCAGGGGTGGGGGCCAGGGGGGCGGGTGGGGGCTTGGGAGGGGGGCCACAGGCTGCTCACTGTTTACTAGACATGCCCCTACTTGCGGTATAGTGAGTAGGTGCAAAATTTACTAATACTAAGTAATTTTTACATAGTATTAGTAAATTTGGCTGAAAGACCAATTTAGGTCTTTCAGCCTTTTGGTAGATAACTCCCTAATACCGTGGGAATTAGGGAGTTATCTACTAAGCAGCTGCAATAGAAGTCCAGAAGTGCCGAAGTGGCGAAATTCATAAATGCAGAAGTTTCGAAATTCCGAAGTGTCGAAGTTCTGAAGTGCCGAAGTGCCGAAGTTGCCGAATTTCCGAAGTGTTGAAGTGCCGAAGTTCCAAAGTGTTGAAGTGCCAAATTGCCGAAGTCCCGAATTGCGAAAATCCCGAATTTTGGAATGCCGAACCGAACCATAAATTTTCCCCATGCACATGCCTACCTCAGACCTGGACCAAAATGAGATCAAGAATGATAACTGCCTTCTAAACCTCTGCAATAAAGAAAGAAACCATTCTACAAGCATATAGAAGAACAAACATACAGAGGGAATTTGACTATTACTATTAAAAGTTATATTTTATTATTATTATTATTATTATTGCCATTTATATATGTGAGGTAGAGGTTACTCTGGGAGGCCATAGGCTTTCCTAAAGAGATTGTTTTTAAGGCACTTCTTAAACAATTGAAGACTAAGGGAGAGTCTGATGGCAGTTGGCAGGCTATTTCATAGGAAGGGAGCCGCCTGCAAGAAGTCTGCAAGCGTGAGTTGGCCGAGGAGGTCATGGGCAGGTTGGAGAGACCGAGAAGGGGCATACCTATGGATCTGTGAAGAGTCATAAGAGGGGCTAGAATTGTTCATCGCTTTATATGTTTGGGTTAGCACTTTGAATTGACTCCTATAGGATATAGGATATAGGAAGCCAATGTAAGGACTGACAGAGGGGTGAGCTGTGAGCGGTAGTCTATGGTTCAGGGAGAGGAGCTTGTTACCCACTCTCCCCAGCAGAAGCATAGCCCACCAAGGGGAGACACTAAACCCCTCACCAGCGCAGATGGGACTGTGGTCTCTGAGCCCAAGCTACAGGGAGTACGGAGGATCAGTCCTGCTCCCCAGCGGCAGAATATTTTACCGGGAGGGGAGAGTGTCTTTCCCCCTCCCCAGCGGCAGCCTAGCCCACCAAGGGGAAACACTAAGCCCCTCACCAGCGCAGATGGGACCGTGGTCTCTGCGCCCAAGCTACAGGGAGTATGGAGGGTCAGCCCTGCACCCCAGCGGCTGGAAGTGTGTAAGGGAGAGGAGTTTGTTACCCCCTCTCCCCAGCGGCAGCCTAGCCCACCAAGGGGAGACACTAAGCCCCTCACCAGCGCAGATGGGACCGTGGTCTCTGCGCCCAAGCTACAGGGAGTACGGAGGGTCAGCCCTGCTCCCCAGCGGCTGGAAGTGTGTAAGGGAGAGGAGTTTGTTACCTCCTCTCCCCAGCGGCAGCATAAACCACCAAGGGGAGACACTAAGCCCCTCACCAGCGCAGATGGGACCGTGGTCTCTGCGCCCAATCTACAGGGAGTACGGATGGTCAGTCCTGCTCCCCAGCGGCAGAATATTTTACCGGGTGGGGAGAGTCTCGTTTCCCCTCCCCAGCGGCAGCCTAGCCCACCAAGGGGAGACAGTAAGCCCCACAACAGTGCAGAAGGGACCGTAGTCTCTGCACCTGCACCACTGGAGATATGGACAGTCTGTCCTGGCCCCCAGCAACAGGACAATGTATTGGAAGAGAAGGCAGTTTGTTTTCCCCTACTACAAGAGAGGTCGTCGCAGGGAGAGGAGCCTGTTACCCCTTCTCCCCAGCAACAGCTTTGTCCAACCAGGAGAGAGAGCACCCTGGTTACCTTTCCACCAGACTATGGATTTCCAACTGGACACATGTGGCAGGAGAACACCGGGACAGCTACACTGGGTGAGAAAGGCCGACCGACTATCAGAGCCCCAGACCGATTGAAGGTCTGGAGTCTGGATAGTCTCAATGGGAAAGGGGAGAAATGTGGCGGAACCCGCCTCGCCACCTGGCATTGGAGAGGCCTGGCTGCCCGCCTTCTTCCTGCTGACTATGGCCCCTGGTAAAGTTGTACTTTTGAATGCAATATTTGGGCATATTGTATTTTATTGTGCGACTACTGGCTCTTTAAGCACAGTGAATGGACTTACTGAAACTTTTTGGACACTTCCTCTTCCCCTCCCCCGGATTCATTGTTCTCTAGCAGGGTGTTGTCCCAGGGACACTGCCAAACCAGTGGGAACTGGTTTGCCAGGAAAAATCATGCTTGCATGTAAAAACAAAGGACTTCGACCTAACCGTTAAACCCCTGAACCTATTCAAGTGAATTTTGGATATGTTTGTCCCCAAGTTATACTGGTTAAAATAATATAAGTTTTATGTATGTGCGATGTTAACTCACAAAGTTATAAAAATGTACAAAAAGTAACTTTTCAGCTTGGAGATAATTGAGTAGATACAGTAATTGACTCAATTATCTCCTAAGCAGAGGGGAGGAATATGCTTGGTGTGTTTCTATTTTCCCATTGTGTCTGATTGGCTGCTGTACTTGCATTGTATGTGTTGTAATGTGTTTATTGGTGGTTCTGCAAAACCCTGTGGGCAGTACTATGTTTTGTGGATTGTAATAAAAACCAGGCTGGGTGTGCCAGCACTTCAGTTCCCGTTTTAACCCTCAAAGTGAAGTGTCGTCTCATTATTGGGGGAAGGATTTACTGTATGCTGTTCCAGTTTGACTGCTAGGAGAGTAAACCTATTCGTATGGCTCCTATTCAACTGTCCACAGCATTCATATGCTTGGGAGAATTTATTTGTTTCTCCGGTTCGGTGATTGTGGTGTCTGCCAGAGTGCTTGGAGTCCTCAGGAAGCGCTAGGAGCATCCTTCAACGGAGGTACCCAGTCGGGGTGCCAGGTGATCCGTTACATAGTGTAAAAACTGTGGGAGGAGTTAGGGTGGTAAATTTGGCTATAATAAGAATAATATATATGTGAGATAACATTAAGTGGTCTTGCTATGCAAGAACACTTAAATAGGAAATAAAATCTTCCTAGTATTGCTTACAAATCAATAGCTTCAATAAATGGAAACCTTGAGATTTTAGATATTGTGCCATAGAACAAGAAGAATTGGGTCCGTGGGGGATGGTGGGGGAATTGGGTCCGGGGGGGGGTGAGGGGGTGAGGGGATAATCAAATAAAATCAGCTTTTTAGCCACTTCAAGTTAAGCAGATATACTGAAAATATTACCAACCTCTATCCACAATTTTCAACTCCTACTTAAAAATAACCTACTTAAAATAAACTACTTTTAAAACATAAAAAATACTCTAAGTGAGCGAGTTCAGTGAGTTAGCAGTGGGCATCTTTGTTTTAGAACAAAAATAAGCAACTATTATTTTTTTAACACTGGCCTTGGCAGATTACATTATTGTTACTCTGGTAAATCAGGTAAAAAAAAGTGAAACAAAAAATGTCACCGTATGTTCTCTTATTTGTAATTCCATTACATTGTACAGTGCTGCACCGCATACAAGCACTGAATAAATACTGAATAACTTGTGAAAAGCATTTTATTCCTGTGGAATGCAATAGCTCGTATCCAGTTTAAAAAAAAAAAAATCATCTTAAAATGTCTCTTTTTGAATGCTTATTGACTCATTGGGTAATTATCTACACTAGTCTGCCTTTATTTCTCCCCATATAAAACATGCCTCTGTATGTTTTACACTTCACCACTTATATCTACTTAGCCTGTTCTGTTATAGAGGGTGAGCAACACACTGAAAGAGCTAAACATAAATGGTTAAATACCATACCCAACAATCTGGGGGGGAGAATCGGAAAAGGGTGAGTGGGCCTGGCCACCCCCACCCTTCACGACCATGTAGAGAGCACTTTTGAAATGCTGTCTGCATGCTCCTAGTGCCCGAGGCACAGAGTGTAAAATGTATTTTGGAATGGTGTTAATGCAGAATCTTCTTAATTTCTTCTTGTCTTCAGTTGATTGATATATATACGTCTTTTGTATATATAGTCTTGGGCCAAATGCTCGCCACAATAATATATGTCTATATTATTGAAAAGTAGTAATACGCAATCTGACTTACGGTTTCTTCAGGTTTATTCTTTGTTACTCATACATAATAAAACATAATAAATTATTTTACAGGATTATGGACATTCAACAGCAGATGGTAATTGCTGGACTTCTTTTGGGAGAGTTACATCGTTGTACAGAGCCAAGAGCCAAGCCAAGAGAGAGAGTGACCTTGTGTCCCTCTGTTACTATAAAGATGTGCTAATACTAACGTCAGCATTTAACTCTAGTCATATAAGGACAAAACCCCCACATCCACAATCCAGAGCTCTCGGACAAAGAAAGCCTTGTGACTTATACCATATGTTACTTATGTCAATCCACACATCCATATATAATCAATAGAAACATAGAATATGCAATATTCTACACAGAGCC